ATCATTCTATTTTATGTGCCATGTTGTATGTCTCCTAAATTTGTTTTTGAAATGCATTTTTAAAAAATCAAATTGACTGTTGCCTTTTCTGCTTGTAAACTTGTGAGGTCTTGGTGGACAGGGGACCTCTCTGTGGTTCAGGTGTAGTCTCTGTAGTCAAAGCAGAGAAGACACGTTATCTTGCTGAGGCATGTCATGTGGAAGCAAGCTTGGCTGCTGCAGACAAGGATGCATGGCTTGACATGGTTTCTGCTGTAATGACCAGGGGCGTAGGGATGGAAAAATACAGGAATCTCGATTTTTTTTGCCTTAAGCAGAGTCCCAGATCCTTTCCTCTTAGAATCATGTTTAGAGAGCATCTGTTAAGCTTTTGTCTGTGGTTACTAAATACTATAGCTTCTTGCAGTATTTGCTCATCAAATAGGCATTTATGAGAGATCTACTCCGTGCCCAGCACTGGGAAGGACCCCAGGGAGAGAGAGGGGACACGCACAGGGCAATGAGGGCAGAGGACAAGCTGAGGGTCAAGTGACAAAACAGCAACGCCTCCTCTGCTTAATCAGGTCTGCATTTAACAAGCGCTTGCCCAGGGCAGGCTGTTTTTAGGCACTGTTGCAACAGTAGATTGAAGATAATCAAAGTAAGACCCCTCCTTTCATAGAATTTACATCCCAGTGAAGAGAGAGTTTAAAAACAAGGAAAGATAAGCCCTATAAAGCTGGCTGCTTATCAAGGATGAAGTTTATGGTGTGTAAATTACACCCCAATAAAAGTTAAAAAACTTTCGGGTTCACCCCAGGACAGATCACCCTCACTCTTTGTGCCTCACGTGTGCACTGCTGCTGCGTGCTGACGTGTACCTGTGACCCCAGCGCCCCATCTCCAGGCGCCTTTGCGGTGTCTGTGGACGGGCATAGGACGGTGGGATGTGTGGCTCACTCGACGAGCACGTCCTGGATGGAGGGGAACCGGGTGACACTCTGCCTTCCCCATCCCGCTCCTGCCATGAGCAAGTGGCCTTCTTGCCATCTGTTTGCTCCACAGTCTTGCATCTCCGTGCCTTTCGCTGGTGACGTAGCTGCTTACAATGGCCCTCACACGGGGTGCCAGGGTGCTGTCTGAGGATCTTGAGCGTGGAGAGGCCAGGATGGGCCTGGTGGAGAACGTGTGTGTGTTGGAGAAGCTTCTTCAGGCTCAAGCCACAAGCTCAGGGTTCATGTTTCAACAGTGTGTGTTCCATGCAGCACCTCTCAAAGGGAACACATGTAAACCAAGGTTACATATTGATCAGTTGATGGAAATGTGCTCAGAAGCCTGTAGGAGTCTAATCCTGTGTTCCCCTAGGAGCAGTGAGTGGTCCAGTGTTGCTGGGATCACAGTGATGTCGCAGAACAACAGCAGTAACAAGAATTGACTGGCTATGGAGGGCCAGGCCAAGGGCATTGGTACAGCCCATATACCAGATGGCTGTCATCCCTAAAGCAAAGTGGGATTATCCTTCCACCAGTTAGAGGCTAATGCTCTGGGTGTTAACTCCTGTGTCAATAGCTGTTTCCCTTAATTCAGGGTACAGCTTCTTGTGTAGGATAGCATTCCTTCACATACCATTTTTGTGGATGTGTATATTGGGGCTAATTGAGACAGAAACACAGCTTTTTCTTTATAGTTGATTTACAATGTGGCATTTCAGGTGTCCAGCCAAGTGATTCAGTTATATATATATATATTTTTTTCAGATTTTCTACTATAGGTTATTATATTTTTCATATTTTTTCCATCATGGTTTATCACAGGATATTGAGTATAGTTCCCTGTGCCATACAGTAGGTCTTTGTTGTTTATCTGTCTTATATCCTGCCGTTTGTAAGTGCTAATACCATACTCCTAATTTATCCCCCGCCCCCAGCTTTCCCCTTTGGTGACCATACGTTTGTTTTCTATGTCTAAAAGCACAGCTTTTTAATTTGTTTAAAATAGACTTTCTGCCTGTTACAGTTTGTGCTTTTAGCCAATTAAAGAAGCCAGCGGCATTCTTAGTTCTGTCTTGTCTGCGTTTTCTACTTGTGTATCCCTGTTGATTTGTTTGTGCCCTTTATTGTCATTTTCTGAAATTATTTTCAATGAAAAGAAAAAAATGGCCATCTGTCTACACTTCCACGGAGAGGCCATTTTATTTGGCACTTTTCAGCATCAAACTTTAGGGGTGACCCCATGGGAAATAGTAGTGAAAAGGCCTAGTATTTATAGGAAGTTTTTATTATATAGCCCCTTATCTCTCTGTTGCCATCAGTAAAGAAAATGTCAAGCTACACATTCTGTGTCACCATACTTTGAATACTTTCATGTTTGCCGAATGTTTTTATGCCTTGGTCTGTACATTCCTGCGACATCCATTTGATGAACCGAGCTAAGAAAGGGATTTAAACAGTACTTAATAAGTTCTTTTACTAAGTGAAGTAAGTCAAGGAGATAGACAAATACCATATAATATTGGTATATGTGAATATATTGCCTATGTGTGAAATCTAAAATATACAAACAAATTTGTTTACAAAACATAACAGACCTGGAAAACAAATTTATGGTTACCAAAGGGAAAAGCTAGGGGGGCAGGGATAAATTAAGAGTTTGGGATTAGCATATGCAAACCACTATATACAAAATAAATAGTAAGGTCCTACTGTATAGCACAGGGAACTATATTCAATATCCTGTAATAAACATAGTGGAAAATATGAAAAATGTGTGTATAACTGAATCTGATGTACTAGTGCTGTACACGAAAAACTAACACTACATTGTAAATCAACTATACTTCAATGAAAAAAAAATTGGGGGAAAAAATGTTGTAGCTCTTTTAAAATGTCTTCACTCTTTAATCCCTTGTGTCAAGTGGTATAAACACAATCTAAGTTATGATGTCAGAGTAAAATGAAATTAATTCCAAGCGGATAGATGCGTAGGAAAGCTCTCAGAAAACTGATCCCACACAAGCGGGGAGAGAGGAAAACCAAGAATGTAGAGTGAATATTCAGCTCTTAGTTTACATATTTCTGAATTGTTTCAGTTTTTAAAGTATATGTGTTTCTCTTGAAGTTAAAAATTACCCTAAAACATAAGTTTTAAAACATAAGTGAAATGAATTCTATGGAGGACACAGACAGAAACTGGCCAGAGAGATGTGCTTTGCGAGGCTGGTGAGGGTGGGTCTCCCATGAGGTGCTCCCAGGCCAGGCTGCACCTGGCCTGCTTTGGGGAGCCTGGTAGGTTGCTGACACCCCCGAGGGGTAGGATTAATTGGGGGTGGTCCAGGAATCGAGATTCTAGAAGCTCCCCCAGATATTTGAACATGCAGCCTGGGTTGGACCCCAACGCTGTACTCATGAGACTCTGATACATCTTAGGATGGACTCTGACCAACTTCAAGGGACCGCCTGGGGGTTCCTACAGTTGATGTGAGTCTCTGCTTCAGGGCAGAGCTTCAGGAACCCCAGCAGGAGGGTCTGGCAGGCACACGGCACTGACCAGGTTTTCCTCCATCCCCGCCCAAGATTCAGACCCCGGGAGAGGATGTCCAATGGGCTGGGGAGAGTGTCTGTCCCCTCCATCCTTCCAGGAGGACGAGGGTCACCAGACCACCATCACCGCAACCCAGAACTGGGGAGAGGTGTCTCCTCAGGAAATGCTGGTGCCATTGGGCAGGGGCCAGGGGGTCCTGGTCAACCAGAACCACACAGAGGTCCACTTTAGCCCACCAGCTTAAAAGGCGAGTGTGTTTCTTGGGTACCACTGGAGGAGACTGTGCCCTAAGAAGTACACAGCATTTGGTTGAGGGGCCGTAGGGCATCCTTCAGCCACCTCCCTGCTGTTTCTGCCACAGAAACCCGTGTTCCCCCACACCCACGGGGCACCCTTCACATCTTTCTGTTTAGAGGAAAACCAGTAACTGCTGATGAAGTGTGCCCAGGGGCCTGCCGGGAAAGGCCTGGGGTCTGGCTACCCCACACCTGGCCTCCGCACCTGCTCCAGAAACATCAGCAACATCTGGGGAGCTTTAAATGACACTGACAGCTGGGCCATCGCCGCCTCCACCCCCTCCCCAGACCAGCTGGGTACCGCAAATACCCGGCCTTTTACAGACACGGGAAGTGAGCTCCAGGTGTAAGATCATGGCTCCTGGTTGCAAGGTGGGCAAATGCAGAGGCAGCGTCTGAGCCCAGGCAGTCGGTTCTAGAGTCCCAGCGTAGAATCCCCTCATCTTACAGTCTCTCCTCTGCAGGCTGAACCGCAAGAGGACTGAGTTGGTTGTTAATAACCCAGGTGACAGTCACAGTTTTATCACAGCACCACCGAGATTTAAAAGGCAGCTTTTGAAATAAACAGACCAACAGTATGGGGTGTTGTGTCCTACCACCCCCCGCCGAGTAGAGAAGATGTGAAATTAGCAGCTGGAGTTCTCTGTTTCTGAGGCTCAGGTTTAGATTTGGGGGGCTGCCGCCCACTGTGCAGTTAACGTGCTGGGGAGCCTCAGCTAGGTCCTGAGTTCTGGAAAACTCTGGAAGGCTGTGACCTTATCTTCTATTAGTTCCTGTCTTCACTGGTGCTGGGTACTTAGAACTAACTTGATAAACACTTGAGTGAATGAATGAATGACGCACAGACAAATGTGTATCCTTTGCTTTTGAGCTCTCTGCCGGTGGGTGGAGCACACCTTGTCACATTCTGTCCTCAGCAAGCACAAGTCTAGCTACCATCCAGGACTTGGGGTGGTTTCATTTGTTTTCAGTGCAGTTACTGGGAGAGATGTCATTAAAGAAAATGGGGAGAAAAACAAACGTTGCTAACTCAGCTCCAGGTGAAACCCTTCATCGGAGAGGCCTTTGGGTCTGAGAATGTGAAAGGCTTGGACTCCAGGACTGGTCGCAGGCTTTGCTGGTTGTTTTCTGTTTTTTTTGATGTGGCCAAGAAGCTAACTTGGAACTTTTCCCTCTGTTTCACAGGTCACTGCCAAGACTGCCTTCCTATTTATCTTACCTCAGTACAATGTTAGCATGCCTACGGCAGGTAAGGAAAGCTCTGGTCTCTCTTTCTGGGCCCTGTTAACCCCGAAGTTCTTGGAAAACTTCCTTTTCCTGTGCCATGTATGATCATTTTGGATATCTAGACTCAGCATCCGACTTCCTGTTGCTGAAAAGGTGTGGGCCACGTGCAGCCTTCAGCCAGGGGCTCTGCCAACTTGGGGTTCCGAGGTCCACCTCCAGGAACTGGGTGGGCATCACTGGGGCCCTCCTGGTGAATAAAGGGGGAAACGTTCTTCCCTGAATCCAGTCCTCCTTCCTCATCCTGCAGTGAGGAGGTGAGTTGTCTGGACATGGAAGTAAGATTCCTTTCTTGGCCTGGCTCCACCAGAGGCTACCTGATGGGTATTGGGGGCAAACCTCTTAACCCGTGGCCTCTGCAGGATGTGACTGGCGTCTCTCCCAGACTCGCCTGCCCTGGCGTTCTCTGTAGCTAGGCTCTAGGGGAAGTCACACCCTGGGGACGGCTTACTCAGCCCTTCATCTAGAATCAGAGCTGGTTGGAGAGGGAGAAAACACCATACTCATGATGGAAGAGACAGGAAATGGCACAGTCAGCTCATCCAAGGCACATGCCAGCCTGGTGGGCACATGGACCATCTTGCTCCTTGCTTTGTGGTCCAGGATCAAATTCGGCCTTCTGTTCCTATGTCTCTTGAAAATCATAATAACTGGGACAACTCTGGACCCAGCTATACTTATGATTTATGCATTTAACATTTTTAAAAGTATTTTGGTTTTTTAAAAAATTGGGGTAAAATACACATATCGTTCAGCATCTTAGTTATTTTAAAGTGTACCAGTTCAGTGATATGAAGTTCCTTCACCACCATCCATCTCTAGGACTGTTTATCTTGCAAAACTGATCTCTGTAGCTCTTAAATGACTCACCATTCTCCTCTGCCCCACCCCTGCCCACGACCACTCTACTTTCTGTTGCTATAAATTTGACTCTTCTAGGGCCTCCTATAAGTAGAGTCATATATAGTATTTTTGTGTCTGTGATTGGTTACAGTTTAGTTTTAAATGTTTTCCAAGGTACATTTATGGCTCTCACAGGAAACTTATAAAATACAGGTAAGCATAAGATAAAAATCATACATGTCTCTACCACTCAAAGACTACAGTTAGCGTTTTGTAATCTTGATTCATATAACCCACTTTTCTGGTGTTAGCATATGATGAACCTTTTCCATGTGTCATTCATTATTCTTCCATTCAGTTAGGCATTTGCAAAAACTACAGAAAACTTATTAATAAGGATTGCCACAGTTATGTGTTCAGTCACACATTGTTGGATATTTAAGTTCCCAGTTTTTATAGTGCTATAGTAAACATTCTTATGACTTCCTGCATTCATGATTTTGGTTTTGTTTGTTTGTTTTTTTTGGGGGGGGGGGTAAATTCCTATTACTAGAATTTCTGAGCCAAGTAGTATGTACATTATAAAGGTTTTATATATGTATTGCCCAAATACCATCAGGCATCTAATTCTTATGACCCATAAATCATGTTTTTTATAGGTAGCATCAAATGCATTTTTTTTTCCTGAAAGTCACTCAGTTGTGTCCGACTCTTTGCGACCCCATGGACTGTATAGTCCCTGGAATTCTCCAGGCATGAATACTGGAGTGGGTAGCCTTTCCCTCCTCCAGGAGATCTTCCCAACCCAGGGATCAAACCCAGGTCTCCCACATTGCAGGCAGATTATTTACCAGCTGAGCTACAAGGGAAGCCTGAGAATACTGGAGTGGGTAACCTATTCCTTCTCCAGTGGATCTTCCTGACCCAGGAATTGAACCAGGGTCTCCTGCATTGCAGGCGGATTCTTTACCAACTGAATATAAGGGAAGCCCAAATACATAGGCTTTTTTAAAATGTCAGAATGCCAGTTTATTCATTCATAAAGAGATATCTAGGGGCTTCCCTGCTCGTGCAGTGGTGGAGAATCCGTCTGTAATGCAGGAGACACAGGTTCGATCCTTGGTTTGAGAAGATCCCCTTGGGAGGGAAATGGCAACCCACTCCAGCATTCTTGCCTGGAAAATTCCATGGACAGAGAAGCTTGGTGGGCTACAGTCCATGGGGTTGCAGAGAGTCCAACATGACTTAGCAACTGAACAACAACAGTTGGACGTGACTTAGCAACTAAGTCAAAGAGATACAACAAAGAGATATGCACCTATCAGAGCTGGTGCCTGTACTTGCATTGCATTTCTGCCCAAGTCAACTTAGAGGGGCTGCCAGATCCTAGCCCAGCCTTGCTTTGTTAATTACTGGGAGAACGTACAGTCCTGGGGACCACAGAGGTTGAAGCATGTGTGAGCGGGATGTGGCTTTATTGTAGGAAAGCCCTATTTGTAAAGCCAGATCATGACCAAGGGATTGATTGTTTCAGTTTGAAACTTTCCAGGAGAAATTAGGCCACAAGTGGTATCCTAAAAGTGTCCATCTTCACAGCAAGGGTAACAAGCGAGGCTTCCTGCTCCAGGGCAGAACCCAGAGCTCCTGAGCAGGAGGCACTTCCTATCCTGCCCTCATTTGTTTAACTAAGTAGTTAATTGATTAATCCAGACAAATATTTGTGTGCATGCTGTGTGCCACCCCTGGCCTGTAAAGGAATTCATAAAACACATCTGATCTCTGACTCATGAAACTTACCATTTATTAGGGAGGGAATAGATACTACACAGCAAACAATAAATAATTACAGTTGTGATATGGGTGGCGAGAGGAGCATACAGGTTGTGCGATAAGGAAACATCAAAGGGTGATTACCAGATGTTTCTGGGAAGCTGCTGTTTGAACTGTGTGTGTGTGCAGCAGGTGTGAAGGGGGTTGGGGAGGGGGGTATGGGCAGAAGAAGGAACATTCCAGGCACAGAGATTGGCATGCGCAAAGCCCCCACGTGAGGTACAGGCACCTCAGGATGTTCTAGTAACTGAACCAAGGCCAGTGTGTCTGGAGCCAGTGAGGTTTGGCATTTTTCTCCGGTGGGGCTATTGAATTGTGTCCTGGAATCCCCATCCAGGCCAGAATAAGGCCTGGGTAGAGGTGGAGGGATGTACTGAAAGAGGAGATAAAGTATTGCTAAAGAGCCTGGCTTTTGTTTAAATCTTGCCACTGGGGCTGTTCAAAATAAGACTGGCACGTCACCCAGAGAGACAGTGCAGTTAGAGCATCCTGCTTCATTTTGCTTTGAGCTCCTTGAACACCAGACCAGTGTGGTGGTGGTTGGTTTGTAAGTTGCGGAGGAGGGCCAACTTCTCACCGGAAAGAAGCAGTTCACAACCCAGGGCAGAGGGCCCTTGAAGCTGTGTATTTAAACCCCGCACCAATGGCAACCCACTCCAGTATTCTTGCCTGGAGAATCCCATGGACAGAGGAGCCTGACGGACTATAGTCCATGGGGTCGCAAGAGTCGGACAATACTTAGTGACTAAACCACCACCACCCTCCCCACTTTGGAACTTCCCTGGTGGTCAGCTGGTTAAGAGTCTACCTTCCAACGCAGGGATTCAGGTTTGATCCCTGGTCGGGGAGCTAAGGTTCCACATGCTGAGGGGGCAACTAAACCCATGGGCTACCAAAATAAAAATTAAAAAAAAAAAACTTAAAAACCCTCCCGCTCACATATCTTCCAGCCTGCAGCTTCTTGAGGATGGGTCCCATTTGTAGAACCAGGGTTAGTTCTGATTTCTAAGGTTTCTTCTTTCAGTGGCTTGCAACTTGTTCAAATCAACATTTAACCTGTGTATTTTAGGAGAGCAGCGACGGTTTTCATATAACCGGCCTGCTGTTTCTAAATCCCTAACCTCCCTCGGCAGAGGTGTTCAGGTTCTATAGGAAACAGCCAGTGGGAACACTGAGGACTTTCTTCCCAGTTTCCTTTCCTCCCTCTCCTCTCTTCTTTCCAGCTCCCAGCATGTGTTTATAGGCCAGCGGTGACAACAACATACCACAAGCTGAGTGGCTTAAGCAACAGAAATGTAAAAAGTGTAAAAGTGTAAGATCAAGGTGTCAGCAGGGCTGTGCTCCCTGGCTTGGACCAGCGGGACACCAGTCTTTGTGTTTGCAGCCATCTCTGCATCCAGTTTCTCCTTCTGTAAGGACGTCAGTCATATCAGATTAGAACACATCCTACTCCATTATGATCCCATTTCAACTATTCACATCTGCAATAACTCTGACTCCAAATGAGCTCACGTTCTGAGGTGCTGGCTGTGTGGACTTCACAGGAGTTTTGCTCGATTCAACTCATAATGCTGGCTAATAAATGCATGACTCTGTCACATTATATTAAGCTAGCTAAGAAGATTAAGCTCCATTCAGAGAAATGAACTAAAAGAGAAGATGGCACAGTCCTTGCAGTCAGAAGTTGTGCATCCTGGGGCAGTGTCAGTGTCCCTGGGGTTTTCTTTAAGGTCAACAGTGATGAGGCAGGAAGTGTTCTTGTCACATCATTTCCACCTGTTAGGGTTACCAGACTTTGCAAGTAAAAATCCAGGACTATCTGTTAAATTGGCATTTCAGAGAAACCGTACTTTTTTTTCAGTGTAAGTATATCTCAAAGTATATATGGGGCATAATTATACTAGGAAAGTATTCTTTGTTTATCTGGAATTCAGGTTTAACTGACCATCATGTACTTTATCTGCAACCATATACCCAGCCCTGGCAAAGAATAAAATGTCATGTTTCTGGTCTTAACCATCAGACACTGGAGTCTTTCTGATTCAAATACCCCAGCGTATCTGGTATTATGGCCAGAAGTATATAGACTATAAAAGGTCAGCAAAGAACTTGAGTCCCCCCACAAACAGATTCGTGGCTTCCTGACTCCCCCTTCTGATGTAGAACAGGGGACCCCACACAGGCTGAAATCTACCAGCTTCCTTTGAATTGTTCCAAGAGTTTGCTGAGCTGTTTTGGGCAAACCAGGCAGTGTCAGGGTCTCCATCCTCATCTGTCAAGTTGAGGGTGATG